CATGACCTAAGATTTATTGTGAGACTTTTAGTTTATTTGTTTAGATTTGGTTTTTATGGATACAGATGTTTGCGTTCTTGTTGTTGTTTATCTTCTTTTAGGTTTATTTCCAATACAACAATTTTTATAGTTTTATGAAGAAACCGGGTTGTGGGAAAAACGATATTTCAATAAGATTTGTTTTCTTAATATATAGTTTTATATAATAGATATTGTTCCACGAGATGAGTGTTGAAATGTTGGTTTCACTTCTTAAAATAACAAAAAATGTTTAAAAACGGCATGACACGGACTTCAGCAACTGGCATTTGCTAACAAGTTTTAAATCTTCGATCGGTTCGGATTCTTGTTAAGTTGTGTAATCCACCATGATCATTTATTAAAAGCATAATACTATATAGTAGGATATAAACTAATCACTTAATAAAAGCATAATTAATGTGTAAAGTGTCACCTACATGTGGTCACCAAATTTTAGTATAGACAATGTGCATCAAAGAAAAACCCGTTACGAGATTTTACTATTTGGTGAATTCATCATGAATTTTGTTTTTATAAGTGGTTTAATACAAGTGCGATTAGTTCAATTTGTTGAAAATGTGTTTGTTTCATTGCTATATGATCCGGATTTGAATGTACTTTTGAAAACCAAAGTTAGTATTATTTGACAAATAATATACTTTCATTTACATAAATCTCACTGTATGTTTGATCATTTTATTATTTTCATTTTGGGAATACCTAATATTAATGTCATTAGACACTGTTCTTAAACAGAAGATAACTATGTTTTTTTTGTCAACAACATGCATCATGAATAATTGAATTTGGATTGTGACACAATGACGACACTAACACAAACCATTAGATCGTATGTTCTGTTCAGAGAACTACGAATTTCATTTCTATAAGATGTATTTTAGAGATGAACTAATTAAACATTGTTCATAAACTCATCTTTATGTATGATGCGAATTTGAGATGTACAAGGAAAGTATTGATACTTGATCAATGTTGTTAGAATTTGTTTCAAGTCACAAACATCATAGATGCTCTTTCACTTAAACA